CCTAGATGGAAACGATCGGATAAGATTAGATTAGATTGGCTTTAACCGAAGACCCACGGATCAATGCTTACTCCGCCGGCACTTCCGACACTGATTGATGGATTGACTCGGAATTCGTTTGGATCCTCCCAGTTATCGAAAGTTTTTCTAGAAGCGAGGCCATGTTGCTCTGAAAAGAGGTCTATGAATGATCGTGATTGTTTGAGAAAGTGCCGTCGATTCGGTAGGCTCACCTTAACTTGAGACGTTCAAAAACCAGGGACCTTACCCATCCTTTTTACTCTGAAAGCAAGGGGAAGAAACTTACGAAATGGGTCAGATATGGAGAATTGGAGACAGAAGAGAGAGAGAAAATATAAGAAACGAAAAATCAAAACGGCAGTATGATACAGAAAACCCCAAGAGACTTCTTTTTCTGCTCTAAAAACCGTCCGAGCAAGTAAAAAAAAAAAAATATAACACCCAACTTCCCTTTCCACAGCCCCCCCCCCTTTTTTTTCCCCCCCATGTATATTCCCTGGACCCAAACTCTATTCGTGATTATATGCGGAAGCCAAATCAATCCCTTTCCCATTTTTTTTATATTCCTTTTAAGAGTTCCCCTGTATCAGATACACCTTATGAATTGAATAGGCAAGATGGAGGCGTGTGTTCATCTGAGCAGGTTTCCATATCCGCCACTATTTATCCGGCCAAGGCGAAAGGTTCAAAAACAGAAAAATCTAAAGAGACGCCTTCTTGTCGTCCGCTGCCAGCTGCAGTAGGAAAGCCTCCAGATCAAATCGTGGGTCATTGGGGTCGGTGATGACTAGAAGAAGAATCCAGTTATTAGCCCACAAAACGAAGCCAATTGAAGGGATATGAGGTGTGTGTGCATACGTCCGTCAGGACCGACAGACTTGGGCGCGTTCTTCTTTGCCCACTCTGCCTTCGCCTGCATGATCAAGGCTTCTTTGTGGTTGTATTCGTTCTGGGCCTGGCGGACCTTGGCCTGGGCACTCAGCTTACGCTGGTGGGTGAAGCCGTAGAACACTCCCGCGCCGAGAGCGGTGTACCGGAGGACCTATGTGGTGAGGAAAAAAAGCATCTGGGATTAGCAAGTTTTTAATTCATCCAACAAACTACACTGTTGATTGATTTTTTGAAGGGGGAGGAGGGGGGGTTGATGGAGGGGCTGTGGCGATGGAGGGGGGTTGCTTTGGCCGATGACGGACGAAACAACGAAAAAAAGCCGGGGGATGATTTTTTTTTTTTCCTTTTCTTTTGTTGCTGGATTATGGGAGCGCTTACATTCACGGTTTGTGTTGAGAGAACCATGGCTGCGGGGGGTGAAATTGATAGCTGGCCGGAGGTGGTAGAGTGGAAGTTAATTGACAGAATGCGAGACTGCGGAAGGACGCTGGTTCAAAGGGACGACGGGGGTGGAGGAGAACGAGCGGTAGGTGGAGGAGTCCGAGGTTCCTTGGTGGTGGTTGGTGGTTGGTTGACGTTGCGTCCTCTCGGGAAAGCGCTCAAAACAGAACGTTTCTCACCTGAGGAGTAAATTGATAGCCAACGGACCACCAACGAGTATAAAAAATATTATAACAGCACATGATAAGCTTTAGAGCGATTTTCTCATGTGATCATAACCATATTCAAGGGCTCATAACGCGCGTATCCCAATGTTTTCTGTATCTCACCGTAGCCGCATCTCCTCCTGCATGGACGTTACTTAGCGAGTAGGCCAGGAACCTTCCTTTCTTCTTCTTCCGGTCCCTATTCCTATTCCTATTCCTATTCCTAGGAGCATAGGTATTTTTCGAACTTCCCCTGTCTCTCACTCTAAAGGCACGTCGCCTAGCCAAAGGATTTCTGTCATATATACAATACATACACAGCTCCCTACCCCACTCACCACCCCACCTCACACGAACCAGCATCCATCCTTCGTTCCATCGATTCCATAGCTGTTATTCCATCCCCAGAAACAAACCTCCATCACGAGCCCACCATGAGCACAAATACGACAGAGCAGCGAAGGGCAGAGATAGCCGCAAAGAAGGCAAGGCTTGCAGAGATCAAGCGCCGGAACCAGGAGCGGCAACAATCTCTCTCAATCCAGAGACGGAGCACAGAGCTTAATGAGGTACAAACTTACATTCCCGCAGAAGTATACATCTTCGGCACGGGCTAATCCATCTACCTGGAGGGCCGACAATAGGTTACAGCGCCTCTCCCCCGGTCCTACGCCGACAGGCGAAGCTTAGAGGATCTGGTAAATGTTCTCATAGGCGACCGCCCGTCCTCGACGGGGCCTGGCGCAATGAAGAGCAGCAGGTCAAACTCAGTCATGTCTGGTGCAGATAGCAATTTTTCGGACTCGGCTTCTCCCACAATAATGTCACCGTAAGAAAAGAACTCCTGGAGGGAAAAACCTTGTTGAAGGCCCATGCTAAGAGCCCTGTTTCATTTGCAGAGGTGTTGCAATGACCCCCGACTCTACGCCTACGCCAAATCAATTGAATTTGCAGCATATGTCCATAGCACCCCTTACAATCACCTACGACGCGCCACCGTCCCCTGTACGCGAGGTCGTGACCTACAGCAAGGAGGTTCAAACTTCGGAGGCTTGGACTGGGCCTGACGATGAGGAGGGACATGATGGCTCCGAGAGCAGATCGCGAAGGACGGACGAGGAGCTACGGGAACAGATACGCAAAGAGATAGAAGAGGAGTTGAGGGAGCTCCATGCCGACGAACAACAGCAAAATGGAAATTCCGGGTCAGATTCAAATGGAGGCTTCTTTGCAAGGGAGTTGACGGATGAGGAAAGGGCAGCAATTACAGCCTCGGAGGACTTTGTGGACTTCATCGAAAGGTCCTCGAAGGTCGTAGAAAGAGCATTGGATATGGAATACGACGTATTGGCGGACTATGGGTTGGGTATGAACGCCGAGGACGAGGAGCAAAGCGGAAGAAAAATCAAAGAGATCGCGCAATTCTACGACGAGCGGTGGTCAAAGAAGAGGATGATTAGTGATATTAATTATTCACCGAAGGTATGGTCGAGAGAAGTACTGCGGAAGAATAGTAGCTGATTTTGAGCAGTTTCCGGAGTTACTTCTGGCGTCGTACACAAAGAATCCTTCTGCACCACACGACCCTGATGGTTTGGTTCTGGTCTGGAACATGCATATGCACGACAGACCGGAATACGTCTTCCATGCACAGGTTTGTACTCCTTCTTGTCATCAGAAATCCTTCTTCTGACGAATAACTTAGAGCGATGTCCTTACTGCGCGGTTCTCGCCCTTTCATCCCAATCTCATCGTAGGAGGGGCATACAGTGGGCAGGTTCTCCTATGGGACACTCGTGCTAAATCTCAACCTGTTTTGAAAACCCCCCTAACAGGTTCGGGCCACACGCACCCGGTCTACTCCGTTTCAGTAATCGGAACCCAAAACGCAAACAACATTCTCAGCTGTTCAACAGACGGTGTAGTCTGTGGCTGGACAGTGGACATGTTAGCGCAGCCGCAGGAACTCTTGGAACTGATCACACCCCCTCCCTCCAAAACCGACGACCTCAGCCCGACCTGCATGGCATTCCCCCACTCAGACCCCACCTACTTCCTCGTCGGCACTGAGGAAGGCACAATCTACCCCTGCCACCGCTACGACCGCGCCGGCGCCAAAGCCGGCGTCGAACCCCGAATCTCCTACAAAGGCCACGCAGGCCCCGTCATGTCCGTCGACTTCCACCCCGTCCGCGGCCCCGTAGACCTCGGCGACCTCGTGCTGAGCAGCTCCGTCGACTGGAGCGTAAAGCTGTGGAAAGCGCGCCCGCCCGCCGCCACCACCTCCAGCGCAGCGGGATCATCGCAGGTCGCCACGCCCATCTTGGAGTTTAGCAGGGAGGACGTGGTGTACGATGCTGCGTGGAGCCCGGTCAAGCCCGGCATGTTTGGGCTCGTCGATGGCGCGGGCCAGCTGGAGATCTGGGATATCACGGTGGACACGGAGGTCCCCGTGGCGAAGGCGCAGCCGAGCTCGAGGGTGGGCGCGACGCACCTGACGAAGGGCTTGAATAAGCTGGCGTGGGAGGAGCATGATGGGAAGAGGGTTGCGGTCGGGGGGCTGGACGGGACGGTGACGGTGTTTGAGGTTGCGATTGATCCGCCGCGGAACGAGGAGTGGGCGAGTGTCAAGAGGCTTGTGTCGAGGGCGGAGATGGGGAACAATAGCATTACTACTGCTGCGGGGAAATAAGGGGAAACGAACGCTAAAGTCTGGCTCTTTTTTTTGTTGGTGCGTGTGTGCTATGCGGTAAAGCTTTTGTAATGTGGATTTTTTTTTCGTTTTTTGTCCATGTGGAAAGCGTGGATGTAGGGTGGAACTGGTATCTGTACTGTACTTTACTGCTTATATATCATGGGTGGCGGGGTTAGTTTTTTTTTTTTTCTCTTCTTTTTTTTTTTTATTAGTACTCGGGGAATGGGATACTGTAATTCTTATCTCGAGTTCTGCTCCTAAGTACTTGCTACATAGGGTTGGTGATATAGGGTTAGTTAATGGAGTGGATTTCCATGTAAGTGCTCGTTGTATAACTTCTGTTGCTGTTGTGAGAGCACTTCTGTCTCAGCAAAGGTTGCTATATTTAATCATGTATTATCACTCGCACCAGAGAACTCTGACTAATAATAAATAGCCCATGCCTGCAAGTAGCATCCTACACGATTCTGCTTGTTTGTGTTTGCGCAACTCAGCTCGAGTATGAGCGGTGCTCTAACTGCAGCGTTCAAACCAGCCTCGGTCATGGATTGTGATTCGGACCAACTGCCTGGTATCTCGTTACACAGCCATTGTAACGCTGACTCTTGTGTAGCTGTAGCTACCTACAAGTAGTCACAGACTCACAGACTCACACCTATATATCCTCTCATCTAATCTACAACTTCTTCCGCTTCTTCCTCTATCTCGCCAAGGTCATTCTATAGCTAACCCGCACACCCCCCACCATGCCGACGTCTCTAACGGACCCCTCGCTCCTCACCCTCTTCCAAGCCGCACCCCCCACCACCCGCCAAGCCTTCCTCCACTCCCTCGCGCCCCACTTCCACCCCGCCGACTGGCACAACCTGCACACCCTCCTCACCGCGCACTCCTACCACGTCGACCTCCTCCCCCTCCTCCCGCTCGAAATCACCCTCCAGATCCTGCGCCTCCTCCCTCTCCACGAGCTGGTCCTCGCCCGCCGCGTCTCCCGCCGATGGAACACGCTCCTCCGCTCCCCGGACGTGTGCCGCTCCCTCACACGCCACTTCTTCCCCGCAAACACCGAAACGCACGTGCAGGGCCCCGCGCACCTGTTCGAGAACCTTGCCTCGCGGCGGCTGGCGTTCCTGCGGCACCGGCCCGCGGCGGTCGAGGAGCTCGTTGCAGACCCGGCCGAGAGGAGCCTCGATGACGAGTTCAGCGTCGACATCGATTTCGAGCGCTGCCGCATGGCCGTCTGGATGCGCGGCGAGAACAGCATCGTCGTGCGCGACCTGCTGTGCGGTGCGTCGGGGCCCGCGGTGCTGCCGCGGTCGTACATGGACGACCACGGACAGATCGACGAGGGGTCGCTGTCCGGCGCGGTTGTGGCCGCGGTGTCGACGACGATGGGCGTGTGCCAGGTGTGGGAGCTGGCGACGGGCGACACGCACTCGTTCAGGCTGCCCGGCGCGGAGGTGGCGGCGATGCACAGCGATGGCCATGTCACGGGGATCCTGCTGCACCGGCGCAACCTGGAGTATCAGCTGGTTGTGCACAGCGCGGCGGCGAGGAGGACGAGGTGCATCGACATTGCGTGCGGGGAGCAGTACAATGGGAACCAGCTGATTGTGCATGAGGCCAGCAACAGGGTCGTCCATATGAGGTATTTCGTGGACGGCAAGCTGGATATCGAGCTGGCCTCGTGGAGCATCGACACGGGCAAGTTTATCGAGAAGTCAACGCTGCGGGTCCCTACCCAGAATGAAGTGCGGAGATTCTGGCCTGTGGGGAACGGGCGGTGGGTGATGCATGCCAATCTCGGATACAATGCAGATTCTATTAGCACAATGCGTCGCGAACTGGATCTCACAAAGCCAGGTCTGAATATTGTCGCCAAGCCTTACGAGGTGTCCATCAGCAAAGTATTTCCAGAAGTCGAAGAACACTTTGGGGGCTTTTGGCTGAAAGAGCTTGGAACCTCTGGCAGCATGGCCTGGACCTTGACCAGTACCGCGTTGAATGACGACCTCATAACAGGCCTCATCTGGGAAGAAGGTAACCTGGAAGCGAGGGCCATTGACTTCCCACCTTTTCGGGCCGAAAACTCGACGATACTCGGCGATAAGCAATTTGCCCCTTACTATTTTGACCCATATAATCGATTCGCGCTATGGGGTTACTGCCCAAGTAATTCTGAACCTCTGGAAGTCGGGGTGCCCGATAGGTGTGGTTTTGAATCTTGCGTTTTAATCGTGGAGAGATATTATGGTATACATGAACAGCCAGAAAAAGTTCCGGGCGTGGCTATATAGACGGTGGCCCGAGGAGAAAACTATATGATGTTTGTTTTGCTACCATCAGGGCCTACTGACATCCCCCCTTTCATTTTTATCAAAAATGTATTTAGCACCCGCGCTGGATTAGGGTCTGTTTGGACAAGCCAGTAGTTCGGGTTGTTGGCAATAATCTGACAGATTATCGACTTAAGTGGATTATTGTAGTATTCCATGCTGGTTGTGCAATTGAATAGTCCCACTTTCTGGACTGCGGCCCGATTATCCCAAAGAACTAATCACCTTCAGAGGTAGTAAATTAGTATTCCCAAACAACGCAGAGCAATATTTATAGAGTGGCTGCTCTGAGTACGATCCGGGGAAAGGGAATCGTAGTCATTTCACCCGATATTCCTGTACGGTGTAGTAGATGCATAGCTTCTTCTGAGTCCGGATCCAGGCTTCCTTGCGATAATTATTTTCCTACAGCTGCTGTTATACCTATATACTGCTTTCCATAGGCTTAAAATTAGTCCATCTCCGTTGTCAGTATTTACCTAGTCTAAATCCAACTGTCTCGATTCCAAATAATCTAATAATTAGTCCTGGTTGCCTGACCAATAATCCGGGCACGGGCCTGGACCCACTCGGACCCATGCACGTGACCACTCTCCGCTAACTAACGCTTACACAGCATTACTTAACGCATGACATGAAAGAAAAAGGCACTCGCATAATCGATGATTGATGCACGGTCAGTCCCATCTAATGTTCAAGTCAGCCATTACCGATGGCTAGTAAACAACCAGCAAGCGAGCAAGTTTTTTTTCCATGAGCTTCTCCACCCCGTCTGTAGACAAGACACTGGACTGGTAGGAGGGTGGGAGGGTGGGTAGAGTAATAGTATATAAAGAGCCCAGTCCTCCAGCTGTTAGATTTAGCAAGAAAAAAAGGTTATGTTTACTGGCTCATCGATCATTGTCTCCATCCGTAACGCAGCAATCACTATTTGGATAACCTTGACCACGTTTTTGAAGACCCTGACTTCGTCGCAAACCCCATTCCAGTACAGCAGAAAGGAAATAGACCTCCCAGAAACCATGTCTGTCGCCCGAACAATCGTGAAAGCCTTCAAGGCCATCGAGAAGGCCGAAGGAGCTGGCGCAAGGGTCCGCCGCTCAGTGGGGACCCACCAGCTCCAGCACTTCAGTCCCTTCCTCATGCTCGACCACTTTACAATTGGCGAAGGTGCCGGATTCCCGGACCATCCTCATCGGTTTGTACACTCTGCTCGTCCTCTCCCATAGCTAGACAGGTCTCTAACAAACACCAGTGGGCAAGAAACAATCACCTACCTCCTCGAGGGCGCTGTCGACCATGAAGATTTCGCCGGAAACGCCGGCACGATCCATGCCGGCGATCTCCAGTTCATGACCGCTGGGCGCGGTATTATCCACGCCGAGATGCCCGGCAAGTCAGTCGACGGTAAGCCCAACGTTGGGCTACAACTGTGGGTGGACCTGCCAAAGCACCTCAAGTTCTGCGAGCCGCGGTACCGCGACCTGCGGGCGTCGGAGATCCCGGTGGCGAAGACAGACGGGGACAAGGTCGAGATCAAGGTGATTTCCGGAAACTCGCATGGGGTGGATAGCGTGCGTGATTTGGCGTACACACCGGTGTGGATCTTGGATGTGACGATGAAGCCGGGTGCGAAGCTGGCGCAGCCGCTGCCAAAGGGGTGGAATGCGTTTGTGTATACGCTGAAGGGGAGTGCGGCATTTGTGGGGAAGAGGGTGGAGGCGTTTCACAACGTTGTGTTTGCGCAGGAGGGGGATGGAATTGATGTTGCGGTTGATGAGGCCGAGAAGGAAGATGCGCGATTTGGTATGTTCTTCTGTTCTTCTGTTTCCTCTGGGTGGCTGGATTGCTAACGGTGCATGTTGTGGTGTAGTCATTGTTGCGGGACAGCCTCTCGACCAGCCGGTGGTGCAGTATGGGCCGTTCGTCCTGAACACAAACGAGCAGGTCTACCAGGCCATGCTTGACTTCCAGAGCAACAGCAATGGCTTCGAGAGAGCCAAGGGATGGAAGTCAGTCATCGGGAAGCGCATGTAAAGGAGGAAATATTGCCATTTCTTACTTTCTTTCTTTCTTTCCTTTTGTTTGGATACCACAGGTTATAACGTTGCTTTTTTTCCTTCTCTGTTTTGATATCAGTGTATTCTATTGTATTCCGGAGTTATGTATTTACTACAAATTTAGAGGTCAAAGGAAATTCAGTTGATTATTAATCTACTCTAGATATGAACTGGAGTGGCACAGATTGGGGGTTTGGGGGGGGGGCCAAATGCAGTTCGAGTGATTGACTATGACGGATGCTTGGTTGCTATCTGGTGGTAATGAATCGATATAATCTAGCCACGAGAGATCGAGAGACTGGGTGGTGGACAGAGATGAGAAAGACAGACACCCGTCGACGAGCCGATTGGGTCTTGGCTTTAACGTGACTTTGCTTTTGGAGCGCTGAAAGGACATTGTCGATAGGAGCGAGACTGAGAGTGGATGTATTGACAGACCCAAAGGTCTATCCAGGAAGTATTTATACAGTCTAGGTTTGAGAGGACAACCACATGTGTTCACACGCAATTGCTTGTCCAGACACGTACATACGACCTAGAGCCACATAGCCAACGGATCCGCCCATGCCAGCGCAACGTAGCCTTACCAACACCGAATCCCCGAGTATAGCACATCTACATCTACATGTATCCAGCACTCTCCCTCTGACCGATGTCTATATACACACAGTTGCCCTTCCCACCTCTGTGCGTTCACACCTCTTCTCTGGCTCCGTTCTTCTACGGGGTCGGTGGGAGTAATTTGAATATAGGCGTCCATATATTGTTTCATTTGCACAGTGCAGCCTCAGCTGTAGGGTATTTCTAGCTAGTGATCTGAACCTCGATAAAGATTGCCGCAGACAGACGAACTTCAATAAAGGGTTGGGAATCCGATCGTGCCGTTGTGTTGGGTGGTTGTCGCCCAAACAGCTCGATCATGAACCCTCACTCGGAGCCGAGGGGACAGTCTTTGCTGGATATGTGTCGTTCAAGGCAGTAAGGTCACGGTGTCGAGTAGTAGACGCTTTCAAGGGGAATAAACGGTGTCCTATCCGGGCTCCTATAAGATGGCTTGTATTATCTTTAGACATCGACAGCAACTGGAGTTTTAAGGCTCGCCCTACTTTCAACAGTCTTCATATCTACAGACAGATGGACCCCCACAGTATGAAATACATAGTAATCAGTCAAAAATTCATAGAGGCCCGGAAAGAGGTCGGTTTTTCTCGGACGCCGTATGCGATGCGGTGTTTTGATGAGGTTCTAGTGGAGGTAAGAGCTGCATGACTGTCTACGCCCATGTTTTCCCATGGTGGGCGGTATGACTCTACGTTCTCAGACAGGCAACAGATTAAAAAAGAAAAGAAAAAACTACTAGTATTATGAACTACGAACAATCAATCCATCAAAGCAAAAAGAGAGTGTATCATTAAGCAGCCCAACTAAAACGAGAGTAAGTACGTCCCCATAAACACCCAACTACCTATACCACCTCCCAATAAACCCCCAGGCTAATTTGTCTCCCCATCAAAGCCCCCCCACTTCACAAACTCCCACGCCAGCTTCACCGCCGCCTTCAAATAAAACTCGCCATCCTCCTCCCACAGGCCCGCCGCATCCCTCATCGCCCTCACCGCCTTGAGATAGTGCACATCCTTACTACTCTCCTTCTCCAGCACATGGCCCACCACCTGCTCCCACCCGCGCCCCTTCACGTCCACGTCCTCCACCAGCTCCGGGTGTATCATGGGGCGCAGCTGTATTATGTACACTATGATCACAAACAGCCAGTGCGAGCGCACCAGCGGCAGCGCATACTTCACGGGCACCACAGGCAGCAGCGTGCGCACGGCGTGCGACACCGTCAGCAGGTGCACGTAGAAGAAGTCGAAGTTGGTCTCGCCGGGGGTGTGGGTTGCGCAGAGCAGGAGCACGGCCGCATGGGTGATTGCGCGGTGGATCTGGGCGAGGTCCGTGGTGTCGAGGGAGTAGTAGTGCTCGAGGACGGCGGACTCGCGCTCGGCGAAGAGCTTCTCGATGTTGACGGAGCCGGGGGAGTCGAAGAGGTTGTCGAAGCGGGCGTCGGTGCGGATGGCGTCGAGGATGGCGAGCGGGTCGGTGGTATGGGCCTTGGAGGAGAGGGATTGCGCGGCGGTGGTGTGGGTGGGGACGAAGCCGGTGGTGGGGAAGTCGCGGTCGATGTAGTTGTGCAGGAAGTTGTAGTTTGTGGCGGCGAGGGTGAGGGCTATGGGGGGGGGGGGGGTCAGTCTCTTGTTATAGAGCAGTGGAAGTAAGGATAGTAGGAAGCGGGGACAGACCTTCCATGGCAACGTCTTTGCTGTTGAGTTCAAAGGCGTACTGATGGCGGCCATGTTAGATCACTCGGCACCTAGGTCAATGATTGCGATATCCACTTACCCCAAGATGGATCAACGGATGCCCCACTGCAACACACCACCACGCCCGTTAGCACACCGCCACCCAATCCAATCCCCAAAAAGGCAGAAAGAGACACTTACATCCCCCAATGCCTCCAAACAGCATTGGCTCCGGCCCCTTGAGCATATACTCCGTGACGACCGCCTTCCAGTCATACCCAAACCTCACCAGCTCGTCTTCAAAGAAGTCCAGGAACGCTCTCTGGTACCTATCGCGCCCACCCGCATCAGCGCCACCCTGCACCCAGAGAGGGAAGAACCAGCACCCACTCGCGCATCGACAAAAAGTCCCTCCAGTCATGCCTACTAATCTCGCCCGGCGCATCCACCCACGGCTCCAGATGGCGTATCTCCTCCTCATACATGCCATTCAGCGTCTCCGCGCTCGCGCCCAACAGGTATGCCGTTCCCAACGCCTAGCCAATCAGCCCACTGTCTTCTCTCGACCACATCATAGAGGAAAAAGGGAACACTTGCATGCGGCAAATGGTTATGGTATCTCAGCTGCGAGTACAGCACCGAGTAGTTATGGTGGTTCGCGCGCAGCAGGTGCTTCAGCGTGCGGTCGCGCTTCTCGGGCGACGTCTCGTAGTCGACGGTTGCGACGGGCGGGAGCCCCGTGTACGGTGCTTGCTCGGTGGAGGTTATGTCGCTTGTTGATGCTACTGCGCCCATTGTGCTGTGTGCTGTGTGCTGTGTGCTGTGTGTGGGAGTGCAATTGGTAGAATTGTGTGTGAGATGCTTCTTTATATCGATTGCAATGGAGCTATGGATCGATCGAGGGTGCAGCTCGGTGCGTTATATAGCTGCGACGCGCGCGTATGAGGTCATGGTTACCCGGAACCGCGGGCGCCGGTACGGGATGTGCCGCTGACAAATTGTGGTGCTGCCATAATATGTGTTTCGATATCTACTTCAATTCTCTACATACCTACAGTGCCCACCAGCCCACCTCCGCATCCACAGCGCAGAACATTCACATCCACCACAGCACAAGAACCCACAATGTCGTCCACAACCCGTACCGTCCCCCCCACCGGTCAGTCCCTCTCCATCTCTCCCCCGTCTCTCCCCCGTCTGTATAATAGCTAACCCGCACGCAACCCACAGCAAAAACCTCCGATGCCCCAGGTACCTACCCTCACCCAGCACCCAGCACTTACAACCGCACCACCCTCGGTCTCCATCACAGCTAGCTAACACAAAGAACCGCAGAAAACGTAGTCCTCAAGCCGACCGCCAACGGGCCCAAGCCCTGCTGCGTGTGCAAGGACGAGAAGGCGTCGCGCGACGAGTGCATGCTCTTCAGCGACAAGGGCGAGTCGCAGTGCCTGGACAAGATTGCGGCGTACAAGGCGTGCATGGCCGGGTTTGGGTTCAAGATCTAGCGGGCTTAAATCTAGACTAGAATAGAAAATGGCGGTGTACAGTGTATGATATTGGTACTAGTTTGGTATAGATGGAATGGGTTAGATAGAGGCGGGCAATGAATTACAAGGTCTCTTCTCAATGCGTGGTTGTCGAAGAGCTTTTCATGATTGTACGAGTGATGCCAACGTCAATGATCAATGCGTATCCAAATGTAAATCGGTGCTATAACAGCGCCCCAAACACAACTCTCTAACTACAAATCCTAAAAAGATATCTAAAGAAAAGCCCCTTCCACAGTCCCCCCCCTACTCGCTCTTCACCTTACACCTCCCACTCTCCCACCACAGCCTCTGCATCACCCACCCCCACGCCACCACAAACGCACCAAAACACACCTCCACCCCCGCCACCACCCACACATCCGGCCACCTCCCCACCCCCGCCCCGCCAACCCACCACTCCGCCGCATGCAGCCCCACCACCGCCGCATACCCGCCCAAATGCACCCCCCTCCCCACCCACCCCCTCGGCAGACTACAAAAGCCGCCCATAAGCCACGCATACAGCAGGGCCACAACACCATACTGCAGCGCGAGGCCATCGCGCCGCAGCAGCGGCCACATGCTAAACATAGCCATATTATTAACCCACGCGACCCACGCAACAACGTCCTTGTCCAGCGTGCCGGCGAGATACAGCGTCAGCGGCACGAGCGGCAGCAGCACGCTCTTCTCGTGCACCTGGAACGAGAACATGTAGAAGCCCCACGCGCAGGCCGAGAGCGCGAGCGGGAGGAGGCGCTTGTGCGGGTTGAGGAAGATGATGATGCACGGCGGGGCGATTGACAGGAGGGTTGCGAGCAGGCTGTGGTCCCCCCTCTGTTAGCAGTGGGGTGGGGAGAGGGAGAAGAGAGGGGGGGGGGGGGGTAAACTTACGATACTTTCTGGAGCAGCGGGGCCTCGAAGCGTTCGCGGAACTTGATGGCGACGTTGGCGGCGCACCAGAAGTTTGCGACTTTGTCTTCCCAGAGGCCGCGGGCGAAGGGGAAGACGCGGAAGAGGCACTGGCCGACCTGTTCCGTCCCGCCCAGGAGCACGAGCGGCGCGAATACCAAACCGAACGACACCACGACTGTGATGCCCAGCAGCACGAGGCGCACAATGTTGAGGCGCGGAAAGACGCACAGGCCGAGGAGGTAGGCAAAGACGACGGGGGCGTAGTACAGCGCCATCTGCTTGAATGAGAGCGCGAGCACGAAGAAGAACGAGCCCCAGTAGATGTGGTCTGTGAGGAAGCAGTCGAGCGCCGAGATGGCGAGGCCGAGCATGACGCTGTTGTACTGGAAGTGGCCGTTGTCGATGATCATGAGTGCGGGCTGGAGGAGGATTGCGGCGAGCGCGCAGGCCTTGTCGTATTTGCTCATGGAGGAGAGGGTGCCGTAGAGGCGCACGAAGATCACGGTGGCCGGCACGTAGAGGAGGAAGTCGGAGACGAGGACGGTCGCGCGCATGTAGGTCTTGAGCGAGGGGTCGTCGGAGCCGCGGGAGGTGTGCAGAGCGAACCAGTCGGGGTTGATGCGGTCGCCGCTGCGGGAGGGTAGAGCTGTGTTAGCTACCAGCTACGAAACTAACCAACTGCTACTCCGGAGAAGAAAGAAAAGAAAAGGCAGCACGAACATCACGCCCAGCACCCACGAGTGGTATGCAGTCAACGGCGGGTAGTCCAGCCCCCACCACTCGAGCTCGTGCCAGTACCACTCCCGCACAGGCAGATGCTTTGTGATCTCCATCCAGTGCCTCTGCGCCTCGAAATCACCGTGCATTGGCGGCGCGGCCATTCCTAATTTCCCCCCACCACCAAGAGCTGTCAGCAACCCATTCCCCACCATTAGATTCACACCTGGTCCCCTCCTCGGTCTGGATACATACCGGAATACGGGCCCAGCCCCACGGCCCACCTCACCAGCAGCACCACCATCAGCAGCACCGGCAGCACGAGCCATTGCGACGACGCCGAGCGCAGCGGATGCAGGAACGACGCGAGCGGGAACGGCAGTGCCGGGAGCGAGAAGGACACGGAGCGCGTGGGCTTCTTCTTCTTCTTGTGCGGGGACTTTGGGGGAGCTGGTTGTTGCTGTGCCGGTATCGCCATTGCGGGTATACGGACGGATTGTTTTGGGGGGGGGAGAGGGAAAAAAGAAGGTCGGGGGGGTGAAGACGCTCAGAGCAGACACAGCAGCATGGGAGGTCGAGGCATTGCAAGCTGGTCTCTTTCTGTCTCACTTCGCTAAGGGCATGCCAAGGCCAATGATCGCCACGTCGACAGGGATGTGGGAGCCGCAGTGCCGAGTGAGAGCCTGTGATTGAGGGGGGGCCGGGGGTTGTTTGTGTGGGAAATGGAAATGGAAATGGCTGTGGGGAGAAGGGAGAGCGGCCGCGAGGAGAGGGGACGCTGGGTCCGGGGCAGCAATTGTCATGTTGGGGTCTCGCGTGTGGGTAGATGCGACCGAGTGATCCCCCATGACCAGTGCCGGCCCAGCCAATGGCTCCCGCGGACCAATCCATCGATCCATGAGATCCGTGAGATCCAGTCGAGTACCTCCCATCCACAATCACATCTAACACCGACAGCATCCACAACCACCCCATCCACCCATCATCCATCCACCCATCATCCATCCACCCATCCATCCACCCGTCCATCCACCCGTCCATCCATGCCCCCAATTGACACGCCAGGAAACACGTAGGCCCGCCCTACTCCAGTCCTCGGAGGCTGATGGGGACATGTCGACAATGTTCCGACAAGTAGCTAGCTGCTAGAGTAGGCAAGTATGTACATGTGGTGCGTGAGTGAGTGAGTGAGTGAGTGAGCGAGCGTGTGAGTGTGTGAGTGTGTGCATACATACATACATACATACATACATACATGTCGAACACTTCACATCAGCAGCATCATCACCACCACCACCCGCATCGCATGCAGTCTTCGTGTTGAGCTGTGAGTTAGTCAGCCTGTCTGTTACATATATTATCGCTCCCCTTCCCCGCCCAATCACGCCCCCCCCCCCCCGCTAGCACCGTCTTGGGCAAACCGGCCAGGGCGTCGGATGTTGCCGCACTGAACTTTTTTTTGTATGTGAGGGAGCTAGTTACAATATCACATTGGGGGGAAGGCCGTTTGGGGCTTGACAGACCTCCTTCTGAACAACTGCTTTAATTGACGATACTTTATACCCACCGTGCGCCCACGACACCGCCAGCACCCGCACCTAGGTGTCTACAGCACCTGTCCACATACCAGCCTACATCTCTAGCTATCTACGTGATCCAAGTGCCTCTATACGACATCCACACATCTCCATGCCCCACGACCCTCCCCACAGCACCTAGCTTCCCGAGCACCACCTACACACCCACACCAGCACCTCCAAACACCACCACAAACACCACCACCCCCCATGGCCCAAGCCCAAAGCGCCGACCACCCGCCTCCCCCGCCGCTCAAGCGCCGCCGCGACGACACGCACCACCACCGCCCCGCCAAGCACAAGCGCCCGTCCGCCGCCCCCGTCCCGTCCGAAGACAAGATGCAGATCACCCTCGAGGCCGCCGCACCACCACTGCGAATGCTACCGCAGCGGTGCCATGTGTGCTCGCGCGCGCAGAGCATCGGCTTTGGCACCATCACGGTGTGTGGCGCGTGCGCGAGGGGCACGTGTTATGTGTGCACGCGGAGGTGCGATGGCTGTGCGGAGACGGTGTGTTCGGGGTGCTGTGAGGAGAGGGGCGTGCAGTGCTTTTGCGGGAGGTGTGTGGGTGCGGGGAGGTAATGCTATGCTGGGGGGGGGGGACGGGGAGGAGAGGGAAAGGGAAAAGGGGGGGGGGGGGGGGGGAGGATGGGAGGGGGAGGGGATTGTTTCCTTTGCTTGGTTTGGTTTGTTTGGTTTGGATTTGGCTTTGGTTTGGCTTTGGTTTGGTTTGGTTTGGTTTTGCTTGCTGCGTGGGTATGTCTTTAATTTTCTTTTCTTTTCATTTTTTTTTATTACTATCTTCAACTCTTTCCCATCTCCCCCGGCCCATGGCCCAGCCCATACGTTACTCTATCTACATATCTCTACCACTGAAAAGAAGGGCCACGTCGACATCGACGACGACGTCAAGGAAAGGAAAGGATCAAGGACGCCTGTGATGGACGGATACACGAGCACAGGCAGGCATATATAAAAGCACACTCATAAAAGCAACATAGCATAAATTAATACTCATTGCAACTGCATCTGAATCCAGTTCTACATACATTACGATCGAGTGACACACACACACACACACACACACACAACCGCCCATACTTAAGCTTTCGCTTACTGCAGAGCCGCAACCACAGGGTTAGGTGTGTATTCGAATCCCCGTGGTACATACAGGTAGTGTTTTACCCGCTCCTTCCTTTCCTGTCCTGTAGACCGCGTGTGTCTTGACTCACTGCTGCGGGGTGAAGCGAGGGTTTGTTCTAGAACTTCGGCTGGAAGGAAGGTAGATAAGAACTTTATTAGTTGGTTAACTACATGTAGCTGTTGGTAGGTGCATGTAGTTAATTTGTTTGTTCGCTCATACCATAGATACATGCGAGCGTTGACGCGGCCAGTAGGGCCACCAATCTATCGAGCGAGCGTACCCAGAGCACAGCATACCTACCTGCCTGATGGCTAGTACTTGCTACTTGGAGCTTGAGTGTACGGTTGTGGAGCTCTGGGCAGCTTGCGTGGGCTTACGTATGGAGGATGACTGGAATGTAGTGGAATGCAAGAGACGATGATGATGAACTCTCAGTTAATTGAGCTCATGGGATAGCGAGGGGTCTGTACGTAATTGAGATGATGGTGATGATGGGGAGGGGAGCTTGGGGGGTATGAGTGGAGGGGGGGTTGGGTTGAGGTATAAAGGCACCTCTGCGCCGGTCCAGCTGAAGGACATCAGGAGCTTCAAAGCCAGTCAAAGTGGTATTCAGCTGTTCTCAAAAACCTCAGAAGCTACAGGCAAATCATATCGGTATTTAGCTCTTCAAGCCATTATCCTCAAAGCAATTCTCTCCTCGGGCTCCTCAGTCTCGTTACCAAAAGCCTATCTCTCATAGAGCTCCTAAACCACATTACCAAAAGACCTACCTCCTCCAGCAGTACACAATGTCCAGCACACCTCCCCCGCGCACCTCTTTCGACTCCACGACCACCGCCTCGACGGCCCAGCGCCCGCTGCTCGAGCATGCGCAGCAGGGCGGCGACGTAAAGGCGAAGATCAAGGCTGTCTTCAAGAAGGCCAAGTCCACCGAGGAGCAGCATGAGCAGGATAAGCAGGAGGACGGGAAGAAGAAGAAGGCGGCTGTTCCTGGGAGTGTCAAGCAGGGGAGCTTTGGGGGGGAGTCGAGTCATATGAGGATGCATATGTAGCTACATAGCTAGCTAGATGGTCATATATGGGCAGATGATGAGTTGTGGTTGTAATGGTGTGTGGTTGGGTGTGGTAACTAAGGGAAATGATTGATGTGACGGAAAGTTTGTAGTAATGGAACGGGGTTAGTGCGTTATTAGGGGAGGATTTCATGTTTGGTCACTTTTTTTGTAGCGAGAGAATTAAGGATTTTTGAATGATCGGTATTTATTTGATAACATACTGGTACTACATAAAAACACGGAAAAAGAAGCAGCTCCATTTACTGCTTGTCGTTCTGCGCATAGAAGAAGTTGGCCCCTGCACTCGCATTAGCACCCGTTTCTAAGTAATGAATTCACCAAAAAAGTACTACAATTACTCACCTATGAGCTCCAACCCATACTTATCCGCCCACAACTTCGCCCCCTTCCTCTCCGCCGAGTCCGCATGCCCCCACTTCTTCCTCTCCGACGGCGCCTCCACCCTCTTCCCCGAGCCCTTGTATAGCAGGAACACATACCTATGCTTCCCCGTCTTCTCCGGCGGCGCCGGGCCCATGTACTCGACGACCTGCGTCGCCTTTGACATGTCGATTCCCAGCGTGTCTGCGTTCGCCGCGGCCGTGACTGCGTCCGGAGACGCCACCTTGACGTCCGTCACGATCCAGTGGCAGAACTCGGACCACTTGTGGTCGTCGCGCGAGGGCGCGTCCGGGTCCGTGAGCACTACGGTGTAGGTCTTGCTGGAGTCGGCGTCCTCGGGGGTGATCTGGAGGTGGGGTTGGTCTTGGGTTTCGCTGGGTTTGAGGGTGTTGCCGAGGGAGACGCTTTTGTTGTCGGGGTAGACGACGGAGATCATGGTGCTGGGGGTGAAGTCGTTGACGACTGGGGGTGTTAGCTGTGGTTGTGGAGTGTGGGGAGGCGGGTCTGCTTTAATGATTACATGTACATACCATCGGGGATGATGTCATGTTTCTTGAGACTGGTGGGTGTTAGTGATTGTTTATAGGTGTGATATTATTTGCAATTGCGATAAATCGTTTGTGGCCCGATATGATTACTACCCAAGATAAAGTGTGTAATCATTATCGGATCAAAAAAGATCCATCGGCATTTCTAGGTAATGGAGCTATCTGGAAACTCACGAGTCACGGAGCGACTGGTTGATAGTTACCTGTCAAGGTGTTAATTGGAGCTAATTGATAAATGAAGCATTATAATATATAGCACTCACAAGAGGCATTCTGTGGATCAATGGTTTTGATACTGGTCTGATTGCAATTGAACAGGCTGGTTTGGAGACAGTGGTACGTGTGATACTGCGAGAAGCAATAGAGAAGAATGATTTACTGAAAGCTGAAACCATCACGAAATGCTAGAGGGATTAGAAAGTTGTCTTGCTTTATATAGGCCCAATCCAATCTGGTGTTGCTTGTGATCGATGCGTTGAGAATGACGTCGAGGTCGCAGACTCGCAGTACCTGAGACCATCTTATTATTAGCTAAGCAGACGCCCAGGAATAACGTTGATCCGGGGTACATACATTAGACCTTGATCAGGTTTGGATGAGAATTTCAAATCAATGAAAAACCAGTCTGCACACATCCAGCAGCCACTTTGGCAACTCTTAATAAACTCCATCTGCAGGATCTTCCCGTGGCAATCTTCGATGCTTATCCTTCTTTTTCTGTCAACCAACCTGAGGCCAATGATTTTTTTTTCACCCTGATCTCTGGCGCAGCCTGAGACAACCACCCAGGAAACGCGCTTGCATTGCCGTGCAACGCTGCCGAACCACCAGGACCCTCGCGCCGGGCACACAGAGCCGCAAGCCTCGCCGGCGGCAACTTGCGAAAGCCAATTTTTGCGCCGGTGCTATCTTGCTTGTGATATTCCGTAGCTTAATTGGACGTCTGCATGCCGTGTGCTACTCACATGTTGTGTTGCCATAGGCACGCTAAGTACATGTAGTTATACTTTTTGCGTTGTTTCGCTCCGGCCGAAACTTGGCGGGGTGAATCTTCGTTCGCCAGCAAATCAATTCGGCTTCACGCAAACACCCACGGCCAAGTCATCATACCTCTACCTCCCCGCACCTTTCCCTCCCTCCCTCCCCTCCAACCCCCCGCTTTCAATTCAATAGGGTAGGATAGAAAGTCTTTCTTTCTTGCGTCCTTTCTCTCTTCTCTTGTTTTCTCATCTTCATCTACCCCCCACTCCCTGTCTCTCTTTCCCGCTGTCAGTTTAGGACATCGATACATCCATCTAATCTCTATCCCGCAACCATGGCTTCTCTTGGGTAAGTCCCATCTACTTGCGCCGTCCCGCACACCCCAAAAATTAATTGCCTTCGTAATGCTCATTCATTCCACAGTGAAGATTTGCTCGGTGTAGTCAACAGGCTGCAAGATCTTGTATTTATCTCTCTCTCTCTCCTCCGCGGGGTATGCCCCTTTTATAAGTGCACATCTTTTGACTGTGGTTCGCCTCTTTCAGGTTTTCAATACGATCGGATCCGACTCTGGCCTTGACCTACCTCAAATTGTAAATTTCCCTCTCTCTCTCTCTCTCTCCCCGCCCTCACCCCCGCCCTCACCCCCTCCTCTCTCCGCTCCTACCCCACCAGTCAACGCGAATATAGTTACCGTAGTAGTAGTGGGGTTGGCGTCGCCGTCAATCACCCGTCGCTAACCCGTTTCCGCACGCCCGTAACATAGGTCGTAGTCGGTTCCCAATCCAGTGGCAAATCCTCGGTCCTTGAGAACATAGTTGGCAGAGACTTCCTTCCCCGTGGGTCGGGTATCGTTACTCGTCGCCCATTGATCCTCCAGCTCATCAACATACCGACGGAGGATGGGTCCAACAGCGTCGAGCCCCACAGCCCAGAAGCTGTTGCCGAGCACCCAGAGTTTGGAGAGTTCTTGCATCAGCCTGGGCGCAGATACTACGACTTTCACGAGATTCGGAGGGAGATCGAGGCGGAGACGGCGAGAATCGCGGGTAACAACAAGGGCATCAACAGGACTCCGATTAACTTGAAGATCTACTCTCCCCATGTGCTGAGTTTGACTTTGGTGGATTTGCCGGGTTTGACAAAGGTTGGTATATTTTTAAGGCTACATAGCTTACTAGGACTATTGGCTGATCCTGCTCAAAACTACAGGTGCCAATCGGGGACCAGCCAACGGATATTGAGAAGCAGACGAAGAACCTTATTTGCGAATACATTGCTAAACCCAACAGTATCGTCCTCGCTGTCTCTCCTGCCAATGTCGACTTGGTCAACTCTGAAGCTCTCAAGCTTGCCCGCCAAGTCGACCCACAAGGGAAGAGGACCATTGGTGTGTTGACCAAGCTGGATCTTATGGACCACGGCACCAACGCCCTTGAGATTCTTTCCGGAAGGGTTTACCCTTTGAAGCTTGGATTCATTGGTGTTGTGAATAGGTCCCAGCAAGACATTCAAGGAAACAAGTCCCTCGCAGATGCCCTCAATGCTGAGCGAGAATTTTTCAAGCTCCACCCGGCATACCGAAACATGTCGCACCGATGCGGTACCCAGTTTTTGGCAAAGAGCTTGAACTCTGTATGTTAGACCGGTTTCTATTATGAGGTGGGGCTACTTTACTGACCCCGCTTTAGACTCTGATGGCGCACATCCGGGACCGCCTACCGGATATCAAGGCCCGGTTAAATACACTCATGGGCCAGACACAGCAGGAGCTCGCGTCATATGGCGATATGACTTTCAGCGGAAAGGAGCACCGGGTGGGTTTTTATTGCTGCCTTAAAGGTCGACTGGGCTAATTTGTGCAGGGTTCCCTTATTCTCCAACTTATGACCCGTTTCGCCAGCTCTTTCATCTCTTCCATTGACGGAACCTCCTCTGAGATCTCTACAAAAGACCTTTGCGGTGGTGCAAGGATATACTACATTTTCAACAGCGTTTTTGGTAACTCTCTTGAGCTTATAGACCCCACTACAAATCTTTCGGTCCTCGATATCCGAACCGCCATTAGAAACTCTACAGGTCCCAGGCCAAGTCTTTTTGTGCCCGAGCTCGCTTTCGACCTACTCGTAAAACCTCAAATCAGGCTCCTGGAGATTCCATCTCACCGATGCGTGGAGCTTGTATACGAGGAGCTAATCAAGATCGCTCACACTTGTGGAAGCCAGGAACTTCTGCGATATCCAAGACTGCAGGCAAAGCTGATTGAGACTGTCAGCGACTTGTTGAGAGAGCGATTAGGGCCCACTTCTACTTATGTCGAGAGCTTGATTGCGATCCAGCGAGCATACATCAACACAAACCATCCCAACTTCCTTGGAGCTGCTGCGGCGATGTCCTCAGTGATCTCAAACAAACAGGAGAAGGAGAGGAAAGCTCAAGCTTTGGAGAGAAGAAAGGAGCGTCCTGCCAACGCACGCAGGTCAAACCTGGCATCAGATGGCCAGCCAATTACAAATGGCACTGACACACCTGAACCGGAGGAGAGTGTAGGCCCTAACAGCACCAGTGAACTTGTCAGGCATTTCCGTGCCAACTCTAGGTCCATGTCTCCAGCTCCAGGTCACCACCTTCAAGCTTCGGCCGTCAGCGGAGCCATAAACGGAAGGCCAAACAGCCCGCAAGTCTTCACCTCACCAACACAGCAGCAAAACAAGGCAACTGACTCGTTCCTGAACTACTTCTTTGGGAAAGAAGGCGGAATGCCAGCGTCCAGCGGAGCTACACCGAAATCTGTTCCGGAACCCAGCTTCAGCCAGAGCGTCAGGCGCGGCCACGAGAGAATTGAAAGGGAAAAGTATAACGCGCAAGATGTGCAGAGACTGTCGAGAGATTTTGATGACAACTCTCTGGTATGTAGTCCAATGGGGGTTTCTATGGCCGGACCGGTACTGAGATTTTCATACTTTGTTCAGGAACCTGCTGGCCAGCAATCGGATGAGCCAGTTCTTACAGAGCGAGAACAGATGGAGACTGAGCTGATCCAAAGGCTGATCTCATCGTACTTTAACATTGTTCGCGAGACTATCCAGGACCAGGTCCCGAAGGCGGTCATGCACTTCCTTGTTAACCACTCCAAGGATGCCATCCAGAACCGATTGGTCACCGAACTGTACAAGGAGGACTACTTCAGCGATCTACTGTACGAGGATGATGCCATCAAGGCGGAGCGTGTCAAGTGCGAGAGGCTGCTGAAGACATATCGCGAGGCGGCGAAGATTATCTCGGAGGTTGGACTTTAGGCGTAAAATGACAATTAAGATATAGATTGGCGGCCCCGTAGGACTAGGGTTGAAAGTGTAATTATATATATATGACGAACGCATGAACGGGTACGAGCGATTACGATGGTTGGTTTGGGTTGAACAAAAAAAAAATGCCTGAGACGGGTTTGTTGGTGGTGTGTTTTTTTGTACTTTTCTTTCTCTTTTTCCTTTTTCTTTTTCGGGGAACGGTTTTTTGGATCCAATAAGTCGTCCACCCCCCGCCCCGTCGTTTCCTTTACTCTCTCTCTCTCCCTCTCTCTCTTTACCTCCCTTTTTTCCTTTTTTCTTTCCGTTTGTTTTTTGTCCTGTTATTCCTTCTCTTTCTCTCACCTCTACGAATTCACTATGTCCAATTTCGTTTGGGTTCTCTGTTCTACTATCTATTATGGGATGTAAGGACTTGTTTGGTTAAGATGGATAAGAAAGAGCTGTTTTTTTTCCTTCCCTTGTTCTTCTTTCATATCCATTCGTTTTTCAACATTTGCGGAGTGGAGGGGGAGGAGGGGGGCTGTTGTGTGTCGTACAAAATAAAGTTAAAGAAACCATGCCTGTGCTGCGAGTGATGGTGTGTGATTGACACATTACACCATTTATAAGGGCAATCGCCCTATAAGGGTATGGATTTATGGTTCAATACTTTTGTGTGTAAAATTAAGGGTAAATGGCCGAATACTTTCTATAATGATACCCTTAGCAACTTGAGTATTTTTTTGCTGGTGCATACATACCCTTATAGAAAGGGTAGGGCTAGGGTCAGATCTCTCCTACAACTCGATTCGACTGTAGTCTCGTGCCCATTTCCTACGAGCAAGGGAGATGCCGCTCCTGCAGGGGGAAAGATAAAGGCGGAAGTAATTAAAGGAGAAGCGGGGCGAGTGTAGTCTTAGTAAATAGCTTGAATACATGTTCCCGGTCCAAAAGAAAAAGGGTGCGATCAAGGATATTGCTAATGAATAAAACTTCAGGGAAGGGGCCACAAGTAAGACGGTCAGATTCTAGAGGGACGATGGAGCTATATTTGGGTCCTTGGAAGAACGGAGCCAGAGAGGGAGCACAAACGCATACAGGTCAGAAGGACAACTGTACATCAGTCAGAGTAAGAGTGCTGGGTAGATGTAAACCGCGTAAATACTTCCTAAATAGACCTCCGTATCTGCCAGTGCATTCACCTTCAGTTGCTTTCCTATCGACCATGTCCTTTCAGCGCTCCAAAGGCAAAGCCGCATCAAATCCGATCGTCTCATCTGCGGTCCTCGCAATGTCGGTTCCGAGTGATGGTTCATGATTGCTTTATTTTGGGCGACGTCCTAAAAGAACGGCATATAGGCCGGTGACTGGATTTTTAACCCTCTTATTGATATTATTCAGCTTATGATTATACCTTTGAAGTGGTTTCAATGAGTAGTACGGAACGAGGTCGTTAGTAAAATTATGCTGCATGCAACAGTTGGGGTTGCACTGTGGCTCGCAAATAGAAGCAAAACTGAAAAAGCGAATTTATAAAATCGTATCCGTATTTTCCATCGTATATATGTATTATTACACACACACCCGTACAGTGTTTCTCTCTATGACGCTCGCATGTACCCTTTAGTACGTAACAAGCCGTAGGTACAGACTCGGTACAAATGAGAAAGAAAAAAAAAGATTCATATGGCACTTTCCGACTCATTCCACTCATAAAGATGAATGAAGCCCGAGACATATTCAAAAAGTTATCAGAGATGCGCCGTAAGGGACTCGAACCCTTCCCAGTTGCTTGCTCGACCCTTTTCAGGAATCAATGGAAGGCAACTATGCTACCCCTGCACCAACGGCGCTTGAGGGTTCTTCAAAACTTTGGGCAATTTGAAAACTTGGCTGAAGCTTATTAGTAGGTTGAGGTCTGTGGTATTCGGGCTAAGCGCGATGGGGATAAGGTTCGGATTTTGCGTGACAACGATGCACCACACCAAACTCTGTGGAACCACAGTATGACCACCAAGACTAAACAGCTCGGTGGAGGAGTCATAAGCAGTCGAACAAGGAATTACATGCGCAAAGACCAGTCATCAACGGTTAGCTTTTTTTACTCGGGGATGATAAGTATTCCTCGGTACTATAATTCTGGGCATTGAGAGTTTCGGTTGTTATGAACAATATTGGGAGTAGGCTTATACATGCAAGCTTGAAGCACCAACAGAAAATTGCTGAGATGATTATTAGTGATTTGTGAACTGCCGTCACCATAACTTAAATCCGCATACGTGTATCACCCTCATATGGCGAAGAGGTCTTGGTGGTTGGGATTCTATTCTCAGCATTCCTTGTGATAACGATCATAGAAGATCACTCAACCACGTTACTCATCACAAAATATCACTCGTGTGCACAGCCCATCGACCATTCCAGATTGAGGTATCCTTTTAAGCCGAAGAACATATCCATAGCCTACAACCCTAGAATAATGTGATATCGGTTTGCCCTAGATGTAAGGATGCAGGCAGTAAGGGCCAGTGAGTGATATTTCATGATCGCATACCCCGCCGTCAACGAATCACGCTGGATGGAACGTGATTTGTCGAAGCAAGATAGCGTCCCCAGTGAAAAAAAGCAATCACGCATTAGGGGCTCTTTTACAGAATCTCGGACGATATCACCATGCAAATCATCTACTGTTACCGATTCCGATCGGACGCGCCGACATCCCGCCCGATCGAGATCCAACCTGTCAAATTCTAAAAGTGTGTATCCGTCCTGTCTTTCGAGTGTTTCTCACCGCGCTAAAACAAAAGATTCCAGAAACTGAGCTCCCTCTTTAGGGTACGTCACCACATCATACGTTGAGGTGTGCAATCTACTACCCGTTCGTTACTGCGATCTTGTCGTATCTTGGTCCTTCAATTACCTGAAGCCGTTCAGAAGACATGGTTCACGCCGGGATTCCGGTCTCTGCCGTGCCTATCTCATTCTAGCTGGCAGCTCAGTTCAGTGCCCCAACGGCGGTTCCCATGGTAACAGGTTTGCATGGTTCCTTAAACCCGGTCTGGGCTCCGTCGTTCCGGCTTGGAAGTCAGTGCCGATTCGACAACAACGTTATTTGTTTCCGACCTGAACAAGACGTGTTTGTTTCTTGGGCTCTTGTGGTATGTGTTATTTCAGAAAACATTGTCTGACGTCTGATGACGATTTTGATCTGCCTGTTATGATGATAGAGAGACGAAGAGTAATCATTTAATTGCTTTTACTATTTTTTGTGAGCTGCATCTGAAGAAAAAAAAATCATGTACATATGTAGGTGACTTACCTCAGGGGTTGTTATAGTATATATAAACTAAGGCTGCAGTATCCGTGGGGATTTCAAAAGCTATGCGCGTGTCGAAAGTGCTTTGTAGAACCACAACCACTCCCAGTGTCAGGCGCCCTTTGGCGTAGATATGGGAGGTTCGATAGAAGCTCTCTTATTTCTTTTATATTCACACACACACTCTACTTTTGAGGAGCGGGCTTGTGACCATGGTCTCATAACTTGATTTCAGAATTATTTAACGTTGGGTGGCGGCACACGCCGCACTTCCTGACCGCACATTTCAATGCATTGCGCCGCACCATGCTGACTGCACATGGATCCAAAGAAGAAGGCAGCAAGGTGTGGCTGGATTTCAAAGGCCAAATCCAGTGTCACCAAGGAACTGGATGCTGGAATTGCATTTATCCGATCGCTGATAGAGTACTTACTCTAGTCTCTAGGGAGAAGCTGTCTGTTTTCACTTGTGATGCTCAGCATTTGTGCGAGTGGGGGTTGGTGGTGGGGAATCGAATCGCACGGGCGATAACCCCATATCCTGCTATCGTAATCGATTAGATATAGGCCTGGAAAGGCGGGGTATGAGATTGGCTCAACGCACCACCGGCACCCACGAATGAAGGAACCTCGGTACAACATAGGGCGAATTTGGGCCAAAATTCGACAAGAACCTTCATCGAGATCCTAAAACCCTTACATATGGGCTGGGGGACAAAAGCTACTGCGAGTGATAAGAATAGAGACGCTATTCCACATGTGCAACTTACATGAACCTTTTCCAGTTTATTCCCCTGCATCAGCCTTGACATCGTGTGCATAAGTGGAAGGGCTAAATGCGCCGACGAAGGGAGGTCCAAGAAGTCCTCTTGAGTTTGTCGCTTTCCAGCGTCTCCCCGGAGCCCCCCCGCGAGTGCTGCTTGCTGCTTGCTTGCCCAGCAGTGCTCGATTCCATTATGGTCCACGAACCTGCCTCGCTTCCCCCCTCCTTCGCTTACTGAGGGTTACGATAGATAGACAAACAGATAGCCAGGCAGCCCTCTCCGCAGTCAGTTGCACACGCCTCTTCATTCCGGCGGGTCTCATACTTGCAATGAAAGTGCACGTAGAGATAGACGGAGTGTAAGAAACACGGGACGGATGCCTCAAATAAGTCCGCCGAGACTGAGCGAAATAGCTCCTCCAGTCAGACAGGTCTCGAGACCAGGACTTGAACGAAGAAGTTCGTGTAAATCCTACCGGATTTGAGTGCCAAGTTAAAGAGAGGATGGGTGCAGGCTTGGTGGTTGCAACTTGGGGCTACCGTCTGGTCGGGAGGGATTTTATCTCTCATGCTTTTTGAGGCGGGATTCTGGGATGTTGCGCCGAGAGAAGTCCAGCTGGCTGAAGGGGGCGAGGAGAGTTTGGCCTACTAAAGAGAGCTTGGCTCCCTGAAATTACTCTCCAGCTGTGAGTTTACGTTGCTTTGGATTGTTGTTTCTCTAGGGGTATCTGCGTAATAATTGAGGTCAACAACCTGATTTCTCGGCTTGCGTCATTATTATTCTTTGAAGTTCTTTCGGAAGTCTTTTATATCAGGCGTTAGAATTCACACACACCCTCACTCCCCTCCGGACTATTCCTGCCAGAAGTCCCAAGAGTTATCTATTCACAGGTTGCATTGAGTGGCGTTGCTACTGTCGTTGTCAAAATGTTCGTTACTGCCCTGTCGCTCATTTCTTAATCCGATCAGGCTCTGCGGAAGCTTACACAGTGACATCTAGGGCCCGGTCCGAGAAGAAGAACCCTCTTACAGTGTCGCAACGGTCGAACAACCTCCAGTTCTCACGTTCCCCGCATTTTAATGGACTCCCCTCATCCCAACTCGGAACTCGATCGATTTATCTATATACGGACCCACGCTCGATTTCTGCGGAGGGACGTCCGGCGAAGAAACAGTTCCAGCCTAATAATGTCCATACGGTTCCAAGGGAGGATTCCAGCAGCCCCCCACCACCACCGTATACCCGTCGAGCAATTGCTTCGTTGATTACACCTTATTTGCAGCAGAACCCCTCTAAGCGTACCAGCAAAAATGCCCGCCATCCCCACAGGCTTTCCTCATCTGCTTCGTCCATCCGCAGCGTAACCAGTAGCATTCTGTCTAGGAAGCGGAAACACTACTATGAACACCCTACTCTTGCAAAGCTACCCTCTGAGATCTTGGATGAAATATTTTCGTACTTGGACCAGCCTACTCTACTATCGCTTGTGAAAGTATCCAAGCGGATGGTAGAGGAAGTGGCGTACACGCTGTACGCTCAACCATGCTTTGCTTCGACGTATCGTTTCGCACAGTTTGTCACGGTAGTGACCCAAAATCCCATGCTAGCCCGGATGGTGCGTGTGCTGGATCTGTCACAGTTGGGAGCATGTGTAGAGGAAGATGTTCCATTGGCTGGCTGGAGGGAGTGGAAGTACAGAGACTCACCACTCCACACCATTCACAGAGATGATGTAGGGAAGAAGAGAATCACATCTAGACCCTCCATCATGTCTATGAAATCCGCTACCTCTAGCATCGTAAATAGCGGCTTACACCCGCTCCCGTCGCCGTTCCTGAAACAGTATTCCCTTTCCCGAGACGTGCCCATCGGAGCACTGATTCATCTGCTCACAGCTTGTACTTACATCCGGAAGCTCAACTTTTCCGGCGTACCGCTGGCAGCAGATTACTCGGTTATGCACACCAAGTCTGCGTCGTATACGCCTGTTGCGTTCACGGGGCTGCTTTTCGTTTCTGATGTCCCAAAAAGTTTCACTTGGAAAGAGGGTGACACGAAGCCTTTGCATGCAGCTGTCGACTTGGTGGATGCTATTACCAACCTGAAATGTTTGACCTCGCTTAAGATCAAAGGCGGGCTTTGGGTGACGCGGGACGCAGCCACCACACTTGTTGAAAGGTGTCCAAAGCTTGAGAAGGTTGACTTCAGAGAGTGTGGCATGTATAAGGGGAACCGCTGGGCGGTGAACGGGCCAAGGGACAAAGTCAGAGAGGTTCTGCTTTCGGAGGGAGACGTGCAACCAACGAGGAGGTAAATTTGGGTACAAATTTGGAGTATCAAAAGTGTTTACTGGGAACTGTATTACTGTAGCATCATGGGCGGGGACTTTTGCTGTTTTGTCTTGCTTGGTTTTTTTCTCCTTGTGGGCTCGATCCTTGCGCATTTGGGACATTGGCGCAGGCACCCTTTATCTTCTTCTCTTTTTTATTATCTTCTCTTCCGTTGTATATAGCTACACGCAGCTTCCTTTTGTCTACGGTATTGGTATCTTATGAATTATGTAGTTATGATTTATCTGATCATCATACAAAGAATCTCGATCGAGTGATATTCTGTTCAAATGTTGAGGCTCAACTCGCGTAGCTTGGTGGCAGTGATTACCCCGCCTAAGCCACAACTCCACGTCCCCCCACAAGCTTGACGCCTGCGGGAAGTCAACCATATGAGACTTTGGAAACCTCATCTGAATTTCAAACCATCTCGCGAGCCACCAAACATCTAGATAAAGCTCTGATATCTCTGCCAGTTGCTATCCTATCACTATACGTATACTTCGCTCGAAATGGCTTCCCCAGAAATTCAGAAACAGCTCGCCGATATCGAGAGCTCCTCGACCTCTCAAGGAGATAAAGGATCGGCCTTCACTTCACTTCTCAACTCTATCATCGCCTCCTCTGCACCGGAGCAGCTAACTGCCAACCTCACAGTTTTCATCGACACTATTCTTTCCGATAATGTAGGAATTGTGACCTCGCGCCCCGTGCTCGCAGAGTACGTCAACGCAATCTCGAAGCTCCCCTCCGCCGAGATCAAGAAGGAAGTTTACGAATACACCCTCGAGAAGATCCGCCCCAAGATTGTATCATTCGAAGAACAAGACTGCAACATCCGAGAAGCCCTCGCAACCATCTACGAAGCCGAGGAAGAGCACGGCGAAGCAGCAAAGGTGCTCCAGGGAATCCAGCTGAACCCCCACCAACGTCAGATCACCGATGAGTTTAGGCTGCAGATCTACATCCGGATCATGCGTAATCTACTGGAGGATGACGAGTCTATCTCAGCGGACGTGTGGCTCAACCGTGCTACGCTGTTGATCCACAAGTCGGAGGACCCCCAGCTCAATCTCATGTTCCAGATGTGCCAGGCTCGTATTCTTGATGCGAAGAGGCAATTCTTGAATGCTTGTTCCAAATACCACCAGCTGTCGTTCTCGCCAATCGTAGCTGAGTCGGACAGGATGCAATGTCTTTCTGCTGCGATGACTTGTGCTATTCTTGCCCCAGCAGGTCCGTTACGTAGTCGTTCTCTCGCAACACTCTACAAAGATGAGCGTTCTCCTCAGCTCCCACAGGACTATGCGCTCCTTGAGAAGATGTACATGGACCGTCTTCTATCCCAGAAAGAGGTTGATGAGTTTGCATCACGTCTAAAACCGCATCAGGTCGCTACACAATCAGATGGTACAACTGTATTATCAAAGGCCGTCATTGAACACAATTTGCTCGCCGCCTCTCGTCTCTACAATAATATTGGAGTTGAGGAGCTTGGTGTGTTATTAGGTCTTTCGGGCGAGAAGGCGGAGGAGTATGCTGCCAGGATGATTGAGCAGAAGAGAATGAGTGGGCAAATTGACCAAATTGATGGACTGATCTACTTTGATTCGATCTCTGGCGCCGCAAAAGAAGGTGGTGCGGCCATTGGAAGTGCAGAAAAACCAGTAGGCAGGCAGATTAGAAGGTGGGACGAGAACGTTAGCGCATTGGCACAGGAGGTAGAAAACATCACTAGTATGCTACAGAACGAATACCCGGTTAGTGATTCATCAAGCGTAGCTCCATTGCTGTGGTTCTTAAGAGACAGTCACTGATGTATTTTCTTTACAGGACTTTGTGGCTGCGCATTTGGTCACTTGAGTAAATGTTAGTGGGTTTCTCTGTAGTAATTTTATAAGCATTAGAGATGATATCTACGAAGGGTAAAGATAAAAACTTGACCTGGTTTTGTTTTTCATTTGGAGTTTATGGGAGGGGTTATGTTTGTCCTGTTTTTATTTCCTAGTCGTCATTACGATAGGTTGCTTCACATACCAATCAAGAATAGAGAGGAAATCGCAGACAAAAAAGTTGCCAGTTTTAGGCACATGCTTCAACCTGTCTTTGGATTTCAGGCGTGAAGCACGAACGATCACTCGATGCATGTGCCAAATTAGGCCTAGCGCCCGCGAAGGTGCTTCTATCTACTGCTTCCACCAACCACTCGACCTTTCTCCTCGGGCAATAACTCTATCCCGAAGATCCTCCAATAGCACAGTGAGGGGGATCCGCAAATGATGGAATGATGATGATTGCTTGGGAGGGGTTGACGAAGGTTTGCTTTTTCATGTTCCTTCCTTTTTGTGACATCAAACGGCGGGTGTGCAGAATGACACGACACAGTCCAGAACGATATAAAAAAAGAACTCTGGGTGTAGTTGCACGGAAAGCTCCTGCTCTTTCTTCCAGACGGTTTTGAGTCGAAGCTGCAATAAAAGCTGCATGTGAAGCTCTGAGAGTGAGCTTGACTCAACAGGACCACGCATTCCCGCGCAGTTACCACATGCAGAGTCACGGTAAGTACCAATGACCGTCCAGTCGGAAGTTAGCAGTGAGCAAAGATTCAATAATCTCCGAACCAAGCACTAGAATGATTACTGGTGATTCTCGAGTTCCACCAAGCGTGATAATAGGCCGCCGTAGAGTATATCTATGCGTATTTAACCCGGGCCCGGAGATGCGAAAAAGTGGCGTGGAAATGTATCCTCGCCTCAAGTGCCGTACGTGCATGCTTCGTTTTGCTTTTCTTAATCCAATTACTCGCAATTTCACAGCGTTTCCGGACGCAACTGCTATTGCATACACAGAAAAAAGCCGCCAAGGCTATCTTTTGTATGGCATGCAATAGTGGTCGCGTCCGGAAACGTCAAAAAACTACGAGTAGTCCTTCTCTGCAGCGTAATATCCTGTATCCCGGTTTATATTCATGACTGGAGCCCGGCCAAGAGGTCAGAAAGGCACAGTTTGGAGGCGGTGGCGGTCAAGTAAGTCATTACCGACATTGCACGCACAAAGTCTAGGCCTCTCAAGAACTTGGACAAAACCTCAATCCGCAGCGTTTATCCTATCCTCATAAGCTTAAGATGTTACGGATATGATATGCCCTAAGCCCAGTTCTTCCCAAAGCGAAAGAGTATCTCCGTTCATGCCAGATCGTGCAAAGTCAGCCTGCTACTGAAAAGTGCTAAAAAGAAAGTCCGGACACCAAATTGCCAAAGTGCAAATCCGTAACTAGCACTTCTTACAGTACCTTAAAGTCACTGACCCATGAGAAGTTTCACGGACGAGTAAGCTTCGGTCTATATCAATCCCACATATTGATATAACCCACGCTCAGCATTTGCTTCGAAGAGAAGAATGTGCTTAGTCTTGAAAAAAAGATATTATGAATGGGGTCTACCCCATAAAACCTAAGCGCCAAACCGCAGAGACCTCAGGCCCACAGTCCACACCAATGTCTCCCGCAACATAAAAAAGCTCCTGCCTCCAACGACACCGCTAAAAATCTGCCTATGCTACAGGTTTAATATCCCTTATAACTTTTGCTACGCCCAACTCCCTCTAAGATAGAAGAGCATCTCTATTCATTCAAAACCTCGGAAACCGCAAAAACCGCAAAAACCAAAAACTTTAAACTCAAGAGCCAAAAGAAGACTCCAGACACCAAACGCCAAAGAATTTAAACAACCTCCAAACCCACGGCTAACCTTAGTTAACACCATAAAAAAAACTGCCCTAGAGGCATCGTCCAGCAGGCAAGTCTTCAGTCAATATTCCTCATGCATAGAAAAAATAGACTTAACATGTCATCGCCTAATTCCTCCTAAAGCGGAAGAGTGCCCCGTTGTCAAAACTGAATTGTATGGGGAGTAAGGAATCATGGGAAAGAACATACATGTATCTCTAGACCTATTACTAAAAACAAAACCCCTCGAAAGCAAAGCCGGCCCTGCATTATTAGCCGGACTCCAAACTTCGAAAAAATCGAAAAATGTCCAGCCCTAAATTCCACTTACTATCACCAAGAGCAGCACTCGGCGGATAAGTAAGCTTCAGCCCATCCCATGTATCCTAATTAACGGTCTCGGAATACTCTACTCCCAACTCTTCTCAAAGTAGAAGAAAGCCCTCACTCATGAAAATCTGAGCTGCATAGCGGGCGAAGAACGACGGGGAAATGGCACATAAATTTGAACTCAAATCCGGATTCCCCAAAATCCGGACCCACATAAGCCGAACGTCGATTCCTGAGTCCACATCTAAGTTAACCCCAGATATCAATCTTATCAGACTATGACTAGCTCATTGATCTCCGCTATAATCGAGATAAGGCCTGACATGGCATATACTGTGACCTATCTCACAGCTCTCCTCCGCACCAACCAAGGACCATTTCAGCGCATTGACCAGAGTCTTCAGATATCCCCAAAGCTTATTATATCGGTGATTAGTATATCTAAGAAAGAATAACGGTGTAGCATCATATCCCCATAGCTCCACCATAGGTCCATAGCATGTAGTATCACAGGTTCTATTACCGTCTCCTGTTATAAAAACCAATATGGGGAGCAAAAAAGGAGGTGAGGGAAAGCACATATCCTCTATTCCACGCGGCCGTCAAACCTCCAAAAACCAAAGCCAAATACGTTTAGACCGCAAACCGCAACCCCAATCCCCAAAAGCCAGGCCATAGACCCTTAAAAGACCAGCACACAAATAAAATCTCCAAGTCTACAGACAGCTCCGCAGGGCCCACAGTGCTCGGATGATAGAAATACTTGGCCGGTATCACCCATACATAGCAAAATAGATTCGGCATACATAAGGTAAAAGGGTATATCCCCTCAGAAAATGATGATGAAAGCCAAAACCCACAAAGCCAGACCCCACAGAAGCCAATTGCAAAGCCAAAGCCAACTCGATCTCCCCAAAGACCGAACAAGCTCAGACAAAAAACTGAAGGCTCACAGACCATATCTAACTCTCTCACAGCGCCTTAAGACTATATTACCCCAATCGACTCATAAGTTTCAGCCTATAGATCTATATGCCCCTAGCCCACATGTATCCCCACGGGCTCAATCCCTCCTATACACAACCTATAACTCCAATGTAGACGAGTATCCCCGTCCCGAAGAGCCGGATTGACTGGGTACCAAACCAAAAAAACGTCCAGGAAAAAAGTGAAGATCCCATAAAATCCAAAGCCAAACTCCAACTACCCAATATCGACTCCAACTCGAAGGCTCAAGCCCACAGCTCCCATAGAACCCCAAAGCCGCTGTCTCCACTGACACCACTGCTCAACCAAAGCTAGCCCCAGACTACATGCCCTATCCCACATATATCCCCACGGACTAGATGTCTCCTAAGCTCAGCTACGTAACTCTAAGGCAAATAAGTATCCCCGCCCATACAAAGACTGAATTCTTCGGGAGCAAAGAAACGTCTAGGTAAGAATCCAAAGCCCACAAAAGCCAAACCCAAACCCAAACCGCAACTACCCAAATATCGACTCCAAACCAAAGTCTCAAACTCACAGCCCACATCCCGCACCCAGCCCACAGCTCTCGGCGCCTCAAAGCCATCCCCCCCCCCCTTGCATTACTGCCTAAAACAAAAGCAAGCTACAGTCTATATGCCTCACCCCCTCATGCCATATACATCACCACTAACTCGGTCAATGCCACCTAAACTCAGCCTGTTCAAAGCAAAAGAGCATCCCCACATGACATCTCAAGCAAGGAGTGAAGAGGAGCCTGGAATGATGTCCAATTCCCAAAGTCAACCCCCAAAAGCCAACCCCACGAAAAACCGAACCCCATGAAAGTTAATTCGACCCCAAGGATCCAAAAGAACCCACAAAGCCAAAGAACCCACAAGCCAAGCCCGCAAGCCCACAGGCTCACAGCAGACCCCTCGCATAGCGGCCAGAGGCCGCCGCTGACTATGGTTTGGTCAATTAGTGGAGCTTATGTTGCACAGCTGCAGTTAGTTGCCTGTATCTCATGTTGTAGGAGCGTAGAGAGGGTAGGTGGCTGTGTGTGGGGGTGAATGTATAGACATGGAGTGGTAGACAAGAACGGGACGGCTATGAAGAGGAACCTGGGCGGTTGGCGAAGAGTAGATGAGGGAGAAAAGAATTGTGGCTATGGGGGTAAAGATAGACATGAATCAGTGCGTAGGACAAGAGTAAAGACAGTTGCGTGGAAGAGCACAAATGGTGCGTGAAAGAGAGTAAAAATCTCAACAGGGGATTGAGCGGGTGGATTTAGCTGGGTAACTAGCTGGTTAGTAGGAGGAGTGTGGATCATAAACGATCACTCGGTTTATCTTGTACTGGCCGTGTTGGATATGTGTCGTTCAAACAGTAAATAACCCGCTGTCAAGAGGAATGGTGTCCTACCCGGGCTCCTGTAAGATATGTAGCTTGTACTAGCTTTAGACATGGACATCAATTGAAAAACTCTAAGACTCGTCCTACTTTCAACAGCCAGCAGCGCGTTTGTTTAGCTTGCTGATACATAGGGTACGGGCGCGGGACGAAGCGATCAATTCTTATTTTCATCACTGGTGAGATCCTCCTATGTGGCCCAGCTTCCTGAAAGCGATAATGGGAAATACTGATGGGCCTGGCCCGGGGGAGTATAGATATTTGATTCTATGAACGAGCGGCTACAGCAGGCCGAGCTAGAAAGAAAGAGACGCTCTGTTTGAAAATACCATTGACTTCCATTGTTAAGAAGAGCTTGACCTGATCAATTGAAGTTATATACGTAATTATAACATCTTAAGTTGGAATTGACCACGTTCCCAAGAGGCCACCGTTCAATAAGCTAGCAAAAGTCCAGATAGTGTGACGTGTTCTCGATACTGTCCACATCAACTACATAACAGACAATCCATTCGGGAACCATTCCAGCACCCGACATCCACCACGAGTGACCGTCCGTGAGCAAACTCACACACTCAAAACCACAACCACAACTACAATCACAAATCCACCAGCACCGCGATCCCAGAAAGCTAGTACTACGGTTTTCAAAAGCCATCATCCACAGCTAGCAGCGCATATCCAGCTGCCCGGGCAGCACCCCAGGGTTAGGGTTCCCACACACCGCTCCACAAAGCAACCACCAGCATATATCCAAGCTCCGTTAATTCAGGAGGGGCATCTCAACCTCATCTGAAACCCCTTCACGCCCCCCCACAAACCCGCAACCAAAAACGCGCAATGGACGAACTCGCCGGCCTCTCCTGGAGCTCGACGTCCCCAACCCCAAACAGCAGCAACAAACCCCCAGCACTTAAGCCAACAGGAATGTCGTCGTTCGCAACCACCACCAACAACACCCTCCCCATCCGCCCCAGTCCCCTCTCGTCCCGCACGGCCTCGCCAGGCCTCGCGTCGCCGCCGGCAGGGACGGCGTCAGATAGCTTCGCGAACCTGGTGAGCTTCGGGCGGAGCAAGCAGGCGTCTGAGAACCTGTCGCTGCAGGAGCAGCAGCGGAGGCTCCAGGAACAGCGCGCAAAGGAGGAGCAGGAGCGCAGGAAGAAGATTGATGCGCTATTTGGCGGCGGGGAAGCGAGTGCTGGCTTCTGGGACTCGCTGGAGACGGGGAAAGGGGGCAGTCATTCGGCACCACCGCCTCCTCCTCCGCCCCTGGATAATGACGATGAGGACATTCTGGCGGCGTTTAGTGCGTCAGTGCCGGTGGACAATAGCTCGCATTATCCGCCGCCGTCGCAGGTGTCAAACAGCTCTTACAGTACGCCGAGGAGCGGTACGCCGAGGAGCGGTACGCCGAGGAGCAGTACGCCGAGGAGCGGGACTCCGCGGAATGGGATGGCACCGTCGGGCTCCCATTTGCAGGATTTGATGGGTTCTACGAGTTCGAGCTACAAATCGGCGGAGCCTATAGATCCATTCGACATTGAGAACCTACCAAGCCGGGATACACCCACCACTACTACTACAAATAATAATAACAATACAGCCGACGATGACTTTGACATCCTAGGTGACCTCGCAAAGCCGGTTTCTGAGCTTCCCCCGCGACGAGACCCTACACCCCCGCCGAAGCCGCAAATTGTGGAACCACCGAGGAGCGCAGACCCAAGGGACCCGGTGATTGCCGAGATCATGGAGATGGGGTTTACGGCTGCGCAGGCCAAGAAGGCGCTCATCGAGACCGATTCCCTGGATGTCCAGCGGGCTGTCGGGTGGCTACTAGAAGAAGCGCACCGGAAGAGCCGGCCGGCGTCATCGCAGCCAATCTCGAGATCTGTCTCTGAGCAAAGCCAGCGCGGGAGACGCAACGATGAGGGCGGAAGGCGCAGAGAGGAGGGTAGGGAGGACTCGAGTGTACCTGCCTGGGCTAGAGACCGGAGCCGAGAATCGGGCGGCGAGAAGGACATAGGTGCATTGGCCCAGGAAATCGGTGGCACTCTGTTTAAATCGGCAAATAGTCTGTGGAACACGGGGAGGAAGAAGGTTGAGAAAGCAATTGCCGAATTCCAGACAGAGGGCTCCAGTGGGGAGGGCGGCGATCCAAATATGCCAAAATGGATGCGTGATCAGCAATTGGAGGCCAACACAATCCCCGCACGGGCCCGGGAAACAGGAGACAGGCCGTCAAGAAACAGGTTCGACGACGAGGACATGAGGCCTGCACCAAGGGCTGCACCAAGGGCTGCACAACGGTCACAGAATGCCGCCCCAGAGCCGGCATTGACCGAAGAGGCCATGATGTTAGAAGCTGGAAGCGGGCCTCCACCTAGGAGAAAGCAGGAACGAGAGAGAGAGCGGGAACCGTCTTCCTCTTCGCCGTTTCCACGATCCTCATCAGCCGTATCGGAGAAGGAAATGATCCAGCGCCAGCGCCAGCTCGCATTCGAGCAGGCCATCCGGGACAAAGAGCGGGAGATGCGGGAGCGAGAACGGAGGCAGCAGTCTTCAAGCATCCCCAACAGCAGTGAGCGGAACAAGAAGCTGACGCGCGAGGCCGTCGAGGAAGACAGCTCTGTGCAATACGTATCGAGAAACCGCCGCCGCCCACCGCCGCCAAACGTGCCATCGAAACCCAAGCCAGCTACCCCAGAACCCCCGCAGGGAGATCTACTATTCGGCGGTGGGCCAGCACGGGAACAATCACGCAATCCATTCCAGCAACAGCAGCAACAGCAGCAACAGCAGCAACAGCAGCAACAGCAGCAACAGCAGCAACAGCAACAACTCCGACAACCCGCCCCCCGCCACTCTCCCGCCCCAACACCCACCCCACCCCCCGCTCCACGGCGCACAATCCCCCCCCGCGCCGCCGTCCCCCTCTCTTCCGCCGCCGCCAATACCTCAACAGCCTCCCGCAAAGAAGGCACAGAAGCCTTCAAACGCGGCGACTACACCCTTGCACTAACACACTACACCTCCGCGCTCTCCCCCATCCCCGACGCTCACCCCATCCGCATCATCCTCCTCTCCAACCGCGCCCTCTGCAACCTCAAACTCGGTGACCCACGCTCTGCGCTGTCTGACTGCGAGTCCGCCCTCAACATAATCGGCCCCGCTCGCGGTGAAGGCGAGACAATAGCCATCGACGGCGCTCAAAAGGACATGAAAGACTTCTGGGCCAAGACAATCACACGTAAAGCCGAGGGCCTCGAGCAGCTCGAGAAGTGGGCTGACGCCGCCGCAACCTGGACCATCGCCGTGGAAGCCGGCGTCGGCGGCGCTGTTGCCGCTGCTGGCAGACGCCGCTGCGAGGCCGCATTGAAGCCGAAGGCGCCACCCAAGCCGAAACCCGCAGCACCTGTGCGGAGGCCTGCGGCGCCGAAGACGATGGGGGATGCGACGGCGGTACGTGCGCTGCGGCAGGCGAATGCTGCGGCGGACCGTGTGGAGGATGAGAAGCTTGCGCTGCACGACAGCGTTGAGGCGCGGATCGGCGCGTGGAAGGCTGGTAAGGAGGGGAATCTGCGGGCACTACTAGGAAGTCTGGATGTGGTGCTTTGGGAGGGGGCTGGGTGGAAGAAGGTGGGGATGGGGGATCTGCTGATGCCGAATAAGTGTAAGGTGGCGTATATGAAGGGGATTGCGAAGGTGCATCCTGATAAGGTATGTAGACTCTTCTATTTCTACTTGTTTATTTAGTTTGCTAATAATTGCTACAGATCTCGCAAGACGCAACGACAGAGCAGCGCATGATTAGTGCTGCAGTGTTTAGTCTTCTCAATGAGGCGTGGGATGGGTTCAAAGCTGAGAACGGACTGTAGTTGAGTTCGGGAAATGGGGTTTCTTTTTTTTATGTTTGTATTTTTTTTCATCAGAAAAAGAAAAGTAGGCATTAGTTAGTTAGCGCGCGTACGGACCCGGTAGACTGTGCGGGATAGATTTTTCAGGTTATTGTGGTAATTAGGTTGTTAAATACATGTAGGCAATGAGAATCGGGGAATGGCAGCTAGCTGGGGAGGGGATTGAGTGTAGCCAGCTTCATGATGCTGTAGCGGTGGAGTGAGTAGCTGTACTTCTCCACGAGACTAAAACAGTGAATTGATAGCTAATAAAAAACGAGCATCTAAAAAGTTACATTACTAGAATTCCTGTCAAAACTATCATTCTCACCATACCCTGTGTAACCAGTCAGGATCCCTTGGCACAATTTGCTTGGCATTCCATCCTTCATGCGGCTCAAGTCCACCTCAACAACACAGCTCCATCACCACAACCACAACTACCACGGCCACTATCACCACCTCATCCACCACCCTCCATATCACCACCCCAAATTATATACAACCCCCAATCCACAATGGCCGAACTCCTCAACAAGCCCCGCGCAGACCTAACGTATCCCCCCCCCCTTCCCTCCCTCCCCAATCCCCCATCCTCCTACCATCATCCCACTAACACATATCCACATAGCGAATACGAGATCGCCGAGCTCGAGAAATACGAATTCAGCGCGGGACCCCTCTCGATCCTGCAGACGGCCGTGCGCTCGCACAACCAGGTGCTCATCTCGTGCCGCAACAACCGGAAGCTGCTTGCGCGCGTCAAGGCGTTCGACCGCCACTGCAACATGGTGCTCGAGAACGTCAAGGAGATGTGGACGGAGACGCCGAGGAAGGCGGATGGGAAGAAGGGCAGGCCGGTTAATAAGGATCGGTTTATCTCGAAGATGTATGTATCACCTTTGGGGCGGCAGAGGGGGTGTGGGGAGAGGCCCCCCGGGGGGGGGGGGATTGTGGGGGTGATGGGTGATGAGTGCTAATATATATGGCGGTTGTAGGTTTCTGAGAGGCGATTCGGTGATCCTTGTGTTGTTGAGTTAGGGGGGGTTCGTTTGGACTGGGGCTTTCTTCTCTTTTCTCTTTCTCTTTTTGCTGCTTCGTTGTGGGTGGGTGTTGCGTAGGTATTGACCTTAATACAAAAAGCGTGATGCCTGGAAACTTGAATTGTTGCGTGACTGAATAGCATATCGTGTCTCTCTCCCAGCTACCAAAGAATTGCTATACACTAGCTACTTGTGTGTATAGAGGTGGATATATTGAGGTTGTGAATATCAATTGTTGATGATGATATGGAGGAAGAGCTTCCCATATGCTTAGGCCAGCTTCAGGAGTGGTCAAAGTTGTCGAGGAGATGTATATTTGTACTGCTGTGATTTATGTTATTAAGAGGTGTGCACAAGTACCATTGGAATTGGGGAAGATATGGCGTTTTCGGATCACTAGGTATCACTCGCATCGATTTATTGAAGTAATAATTGCCGCTAACCGCGATGGAGCCACTTCTTCATACGTGCTCTTCCATGTGGGCTTGTAGATATTAGGTATATGCATGGTTTTTCCGCATTGTCTATAGAACGTTCAGAATTAGTGTATTGAAATTCATAAATGGTAGTGGTATTCCCTCCATAACTGTGATGAGAAAGAAGAACTGGATTACTTGCCGAATTTTTTTCTCGTGCCGAGCAAACCTATTCTTCCTGATATGGAAGAGTCGCAACGACTTCACCTCACCAAATAGCTATCCGATTCATGAAGTTTTAGGGCCGTTACTTCGTAGCACTCCAATGTTTCCGGATGAGGAAGAAAACAGCTGGACACAAGAAAATTTGGCAAGTATTTCATGTGAATATGGGTTAGGGTTTCGTGCGAGTGGTTAACACAAGACCTACCAACGTTGGAAGCATAAACCACTTGGCTTATACAGGATAAGACATGGTCCCTATAAGAAGTTGTTAGCGGGCGAATAGTAAGCATCGAACTAAAGGAGTACGACCGGCGTTGCCGCACCAACCTAAACAGAACTGTGCAATCATAAAAGATCACTCGAGAATAAAGACAGGCCATTCCAAGCCATCCCTCCGACCAAAAAGGCTACATGGCTTGTGACTGACCTGTCTAACAGGTCTCTGATGCTTTCCCTATCTCCCCCTGGTATGCACCAGAATAAGCAAAACTTCCAGTCACGAAGACCCTAGTCTTGCTGCGCCACTGGTCCCTACTACGTAAGCTTAAGATTATGTAGCTACATATATCCTCACTGCATACTCAGACTTTCCCACTGTCCAAAAATAGTCATTACGAGTCACAAGCTGATGAAATCCCGTTCCGGTATCTCTTCTCCATGGCCCACTTGACCCCACCTGTATCTCCAGCGCTCAGTGTGAGAGGGAAAGGGGGAGGGCCTACGTATTGTACTAGCTACGCATACCACCCTCCGGAATGAACACTAAACTGTCGCTCGATCGAGGCATGGAAGCACTTGACTTCGTGTCTGCCCAAGATATAATAACTAATCGGACGTAGGATCCTAACGCCGAAAACGACAATCCTTCTGCAGGTCTGGGCTTACAAGCTGCAGCTTGGTCGACCGACAGCTCGTATGGCAAACCCTACTTACCCCCACATGGCCGATGAGAATAGGACATCTATAGGTAATGTGCTTCGCCGTCTTTCCCCACCTAGAGATGATACGAGGGGGGGGGGGGGAGGGAGAATGTATTGTTGGTAATGAAGATGGGAGCTCCTCGGCCGGTTTCACCTAGACGTAAAAGCATACTGGGGGGAGATGGACTGCCTCCTCAGCTGCACTAGAGAGATAATGTTTTCGAGACAGGCCGGAACCATATTGGCATACTCTGCCAGATGTTTGCTTTTTGTACTCAGGTGTGCAGCCCATCTAGGGTACCTTGCTTCGAGCCGTTTTTTTTTAATGCGCTGCATGGTACGTCGTTTCTTTATTGCATGCAATTTATGACATACGAGGCTTTCCCTCAGTTTGGCACCCTATCAACAATGTCGAATGAGCGCTATCGGGTCCTGCAGCATAATCAACGGAAAATAACACTTTTCCCTTCCCATCACAGTAACAGCGTAGATGTACCTGCACTCAGGTTACACAACTTACGCATCCTCACGGATGCAAGATGCTGACCTTTGTACTCCGCGAACCAATTATCATGATCCGGGACCAGACGTAATAGACACTTGTGAATAGCTCATCTACAACGGGGTGGAATATGCACATGTGCGCTTGGAAGCTGGCATCTTCACTATAAACGGAGGCATCGTGCTGTACGACAGAAGAATCATAAATCTCTCCACATCCTGCAGTATGAGATATCGAGCATATTGGGGTTCCTACATGCTGTAATACCTCATGGAGCAGTAGCCAGTAAACTCTGCGGGATATGATTATATAGAAGCAGAAGTACCAAACCTCAGGAAGATAGTACACGTGGGCATATGGGTCCAATGATAATGCCTTAAGGTCGGCCTCGGATTCCGGTTGATGCATACCCCAACCAATGCAAAGGCGGTCCTTTCTTTTTGGCTTTGGAAGAGTCGCACAACAGCAGTCCAGTTGGGCCAATAAATACCACGGCATCGTTCATGTTTTCGGGCCGTTTGATTATGCACAGGCGATAGGTCGTCTACGTAGGTAACTTCACCATGCCCTTTCCCAAGGCGTACAAAGACATCCCGTCGCCGAGGTTTGCCTCGTACAACTTTACAAAGCTCGATCCCATCACCCTCTGATGTCCAAACCAGCTTAATGCTCCAGTGACTGGGCTCGATTAGGTCATGCTTAACTATACCTGGCCTTAGCACAACATTCAAGCTTTAATTTGATCTCGGGAAAAAATTGGAATTTGTGGTGTCCACAAAGGCCTTCGATCAAGGCTTGTACTTTCTGTTGGCCCTTGCATCCTGCATAGGAGGCAAGGCGGATTTCCGAAAGAAAAATAATAACCTGTCTTCAAGCACTGATTCTATATTTGCACTTAATTACCGAAAGCCCCCGCGTGGCTGGTGGCTGTGCAGGAGATGCAGCGAGTGATCTCTCATGAACGAGGCCTGTCCTACCCGCGCGTGGCGATCATAGGTCGATTAATTGGTTAATACTAGAGACTTGAACTTAACCTCAATAGAGATAGCTTATTATTCTCCGTATTCTCCCAAACCTTCATGCCTTAGATTATGAGCTAGGAGTATACGATGAAGATATTCTTCACAGTTTTTTGCAACATTAGACAATTGCAACGTCCACTACACTGTTTAAAGACTCCAGCCCTGCTATCTTCATGGGAGAGTTAGCTCTCCCTTCTTATCACGTGAAATGATGAGGTGGTTCGTTCATAGATCAACGCACGGGTCCCGATAGAGAATCGGTGGCAAAATTCAATGGAGTACAATATGATATGTACGATAAACTAGCTTAGCAAGTTAAATACATGTACTTGATGTTTAGATAAGTGCATTTAGATAACCGAAGTTTAAGGCTGACTTGGGCTGGTCGTCTGTGCTGGCCACTAAACTCTCTCAAATTTGCAAGGCATAATATAATAGCGTGCATGGACTGAAACCTGTAATTATATCTTGACCTTCTTTTGGCACGACGTAGAGATTTGAGCCGAGTTTCTTTGTTTCCTTTTTCTTTTCCCATACAGGTACTTTACCCAATGTACCTACAATATATGTATGAAGTATGTACCTTGCCCAGCACGGAAATTCGGACTTACGCTATATATGGCAGCTATTATGTATTCTACGAAACAACGGAGTTTCCGAATGTGATAGCTGACTGAAACTCCAAAGTGCTCGGCCGGAGCTCAACCATTAATATTACAGAATGCTAGTTATCAAGTACCAAAGACTTTATGATAGTCACTTGATATATAACTTCGCACTCACATAAGTAACGTGACATTATAATTCAATCACAGCGAGTAATTATATAATTTTGATGTCACGCTCTGTTGCCT